ATTACAGTTGGTCCCAGGCCATTTACCTGGTCAGGTAAAAATGATACAGGTAAGCAAATCAATGCACCTGTCCACCTCTCTTTAAAAGCTGTCAATTATTGTATTATTTCGGAACTATTTTTCTTGTGTTTTTTTATGCCTTTTCACATGGTAGTGTAGGTGGCTTTCGGTGTATGATAACACATTTTATGTTAGTTTCATTTGTAAGGTCTGTCATTATCATTATTGAAATTCATAAACCTCATTTCTTAGCCGATAGCATTCATAAAGACTCTTATTTCCTGTCAGATACTTTGTTCAAAATCGGCAAACTTCTACCGACTTAGGATGATAAGATAATATAAAGCACGGCATCAAGTTACGAGATTTAAAAAAATTAGCATATAACAGTTTGGCTCTTGGATAGGAGAAACAAATTGAGCCAGATGATAGCTGATCTCGAGGTCATGCCCCACTGACAACAATGTAAATTTTAACAAATCAACGTTTGGAATATGAAAACAAATGACTGCACACTGCCTTGATGAATAGAATTTTGATAAGTGAAGAGATTCATCAGTATCATCTCAGAAATAAAATTCTGGCAATAATTAAGACAGAATTATTATCAGTGAGAATTTTTTATCTTCAACTAACTTAATTCTTTCAAAATTGCATAATATTAATCATAATTAAACAGCAGTGAGTATAACTGATTTCTTCATTAAGCCATAATTGGTACCGAGTAAAAAATGGGAGCTTCATTCTTTTGCCTCATTAGAGATTTGGTAATGGGGTAGTTTGTAGCTCCCTAGGGTGTCGAGATGGTAGGACAATGCGGGGAGATGTTGATTCGAAGACATCACATGTCATGATTTCAGCACTAAAAATACAGAACTTGCCATATGTTTGGACCATTGAGAAACTGGGGGCAGCTTATTGGTCCCTTAGGATTCCTTAAGTTAAATCATTTTTTTGTCAGAATGGAAAGGGCATTATTTGAGAAATCTGTATACATAACTCTTTATATCAGATTTTGTGATCCATGTAATTCATGTCAGTTTTTTTTTTTCTCTTTTTAATTTAAGTATCAGTTTTTTTTCTACAACACTAGGAATCAACTTGCATTTTAAAAAAATCATCAAATTATTGCTAATTTTTACAAAAAAATGAGGTTTGATATTAACTTTTTGTTTGTTAGGTTAAATTTTAGCATATTTCATAAACCTATAAATGATTTCTCTCGGAACAGGCTTCTCCATTTCCCCAGAACCGTATGATTGTATGGCTGGCTTCACTTGAAGGGCCCCATATGCCAAGGTGCAATCATATTTGGGCTTGGATGATTTGGGGCACATCTTCGTTTGGCCATGTGCTGAGAATCAAATCAGCTTAATATTCTCCTCTGATGTAGAAAATCTTTGATTTCAAAATATAAATAAATGCTTAAACTTAAAACATCAAAAATTGTTTTCAATTTCATGTCTGAATCGTTTATTTCCAATGTATGCTGAGACTATACTATGGGAAATGGTAAACTTTGACTGTACTAATCTGCCCCTTTATAGAGTTAAAACAACATGTGAGCTGTGTGATTATATATTTTTATAAGATTACTCTACCAGAACCATGTATGACACAGTTGATTTAGCCTGTTAAGGATAAATAACCAGGGTCACTTACATTTTCCTGAGAGGTCAACTGGAGGGGTCTGTTTCAGCCTCCAGAATCTGGTAACAAGCAACCCTGTGAATGGTAAGAGATAGCGGTGATCTGGTCAGTTCCTCTTGTTAACAACACCAGTCAGCATTCATATATCAGTACCAATCTGCTCCAATCAGGAGTTTCTGGTCAGTTCCAAAAGTCACTGCCTGATTGAGATAATGGGGATCTGTCAATTCTAACCCTGGATTCAACTATTTGCTATTTGCACTTAGCTTGGAAACGTTCTGCAAATGTAGTAAATTTTCAGAAATTGTAGAAATTGGGTTGCTAAGTTAACTGTGGCAAGTAAACATGAAATAAACAACAACAAAAAGTGACAGCCATTTGGTACTTTATCAGAAAAGTGTTCATTAAAATTCTACAAACAACATTTCATTTCAGAGCCAATTCACAAGACATTTCTTACAGACAGAAATTTGAGGAGTAGTTTTCATTTTTGGATCCATTTTATGATATGGTTGCCCCAGGGAAGTTAGGGAGCCAGCCTCTTTATATCAATAATTCATGTAATAGATAGTAGTTTTATGGTAATTTTAACAGTCACCCAATTAGCTGAGGAATTTTTGAGTTTTGGTTCTTATTTTTTTACAAGATCCAGCTGACTTGCTGCATATATAACATATTTCTGTTATTCACATGTAAAAGTATGCTAAAACTAAACGCTGATGGCAATATCTTAAGGCATGAAAATTCTGAAAAAAATCTTTAAGCATATTTCTGCGAGAAATGACTTGAAAATATCTATAGAATTAGAGGAACTCTGTTAATTTAAGGCTGTAAATTTTAGCTTGAACAGCATTTTCTAGATGATCAGAAATGTTGGCTGCAAATAAATATAAAAACGGTTGTTTCGTAATTAAACTTCAAATACATAGGAAGTGCAAATTGAAAATTACAGAGAGAAAAAAAGGAGTTTTGATTTGAAAGGAAGTTATTCTTTTCTGTTTGGATTACCGGATATCATCCGTCTATAGATTGATAGTAATGAATCAGATCACCTTCAATTTGAGATTTTTCTTTTCGGGACGATTCAATCGGTATCCATCAAACTGGATGACTTATAGGACAAACCATTGTAAAGCAGTATTTCTTTGTCTATCTTGTCTATTGATGCCTGAAGTTGATAACCTGTCAACGTGACCAAGTGATAGATATTGACACGTCAAAAGGATGATCAACATTTTTACCCACCAAGTGTGAACGGATCAGAAATAATTCTTGTTTTTACAAGTGTTTTTTTTCTTGTTACCATGCGATAGTCTTGAGACTCCCAGCATACACAGGTGCCTTAAATAGACAAAAGTTACCTGATCTGCTCATTGACTTTGCTGGTAAAAAAAAGAGATATTTAATCACAAATTTAATGCAGATTATAAAATGTTATAACTTCGTGTTAAGTTTGATAAAGGATATGCTAATGGAATCTCACAACTTTAGATAGAAATGAAAAGAGTATGTTAATTTTAGTTCAATGGATTATTGTGTTTTGAGCTAAATGTTTTGTTAACAGAGAACAGACCACACAATGTTGAGTTTATTTTACTAAACATGATTGATCTTGTATAACTTGCAAAAGACGGTGACATCTTCATATTTTCTGTTACCATATAGAAATATTTTACTTAAGGAGTCATTTTTGTTTGAAATTAATGTAGGAATTTGATCTCTGCAATATAAACTTGTATACACACAAAAATGCAAACATTTTCCAAGATAACTGATCTCAATTTATTATGCATAGCACTTCAGTCAACGCCATAAAGATGACTTGATAGTCAATATTTTAAAGAAGCATTGAAATTTGAAATGGAATGTAAAATTAAACTTTATACATACAGTCTTCATTCATGCATAGAGTTTGGATTTTGATTATAATTTTTATGCATTAATTCTATTTCATGCGAAGAGAGAAAATTCTATAAGACATGATAAATTTTCATATCAATTCTTTGAATTTATTGGTTTTTATTATTTGCCAAATGTTTTTCGGAATACCTACCTAAAATTGTTGTCATCTTAATATGCAGTACCTTAGGCTATAGGAATACAAATTTCAGTAGTATTGAATATTTTTAGAAACTATATGCTGATTTGAAGAGATTACATGCAAGTGTATTGGTCCTTGTGTCACCACAGTAAATAAATCTCATCAATTACGTACTCTCAAATCCCTGATTTGTGAATAACTTATTCGGTATTCTCAAACAAAAAACTTTTATGATGAAAAATTGGCACATCCTTCTCACTTTCCAAAAATGCTCTTTTTCACCTTTTGCAATAAAACTTTATAAATATATTTTTAAATGTATATTGATTTGATGTATATTATAATAGACTACTGGTTTGTATTTACTTTATGAAGTATGAAAAGGATCTTTGGGATCTCTTACTAGTCATATTTTCTGTAGGACAAATTTATTGATACATTTTACAGTTAGACTTACAAATTTGAGTTTGCGTCGTTCTATGAAAAATTCAATAATAATCTTCAGGAGTTGACAGCAGACGGTCCCCAAAGTGCATTTCTGTACAAATTTTTATTGTGTAATAAAAGGATTTTAACAATTTTGATATTTGTTCTTGACATGGTCCAGTTGTTCTGATGTCAGTGTAATCATCATCCCTGTCATCCAACTTATCATTACTTACGTTATCTGTCTGATAACCCCAAAGACATTCAAGAAATCTCAGTCGCTGAAACTCTTTAAAGCAAATAATGATGAAGAACTCTCAAGTCATCCTAAAAAATGTCACTCAGATGTTTGCACTTGATGCTAGACAGTACATGGCCAGGAGATTACATTGTGTGTCGTGGTCTAAGGCCGTTACCTGTCAAAACGAAAATACCCACATCACAGGAAACCCTGATCACCTGACCAAACACGTATTTCAAACGGAGAATTAAATACCGCAGGCTTATAATAAATCCATGTTACCTGTCTGGATGGGATGTGTGAACATATGGACATCTTTGCCACGAAGAAATATAATATTATTTTTATGTTGCAATTTACATCTCTTTCTTGCCATCATCAGTCAAGATTAAATGTCTTTGATTTCTTCAAACACAGACTTTGCTGACTATGGATGTACCTGTCGTCTGTATATCTGAAACATATGAGAAAGTACTTGTAATACAACAAAGCCTGCCAGGTTTAAAATTGTACATGAACACAATCCTTTATTTGTAAGATACAAAAAATGTTTTAATCAGTAATAATTTACACTAAATAAAAACTTGATCAGACATGCATTTCCTTGTGAAGGTCACTGATTGTGTATTTTGTATTTTTCAGGTGAAAACAGTCAGTCACCAACTTCCTCACCAGGAGGTGATGCACATGTTTGTGGTAAGTGCCGCGAAGAATTTCCAGACTTAGCCACTTTTCTGGCTCACAAAAAAGCTTGCAGTCAGAAACGAGTGGTAGTGTTCTTTGATGCCAACGACAGTGATAACTCACAGAGTGACAATCATTTAGAGCGAAGCAGCAAAATCCCGAGAATGAGCAAAGTATCCGATGTGACCGCTCGTGACGGCTCAGACGGCGAGACTCACATGGACCAATCGGAGGAGGAAGAAGAGGAGGAAGATCAGACAGAGGCCTTCGGGGACGAAATGGACGAAGAGGATGGCATAATGGAGGACTCATACCTTAATGGTGAAGTGTCAGACGAAGATGATTTGGATGATATTGATGAAATAAATGACAAAGAAAATGACTATGGAAAGTTATCGTCAGAAAGTAAAGCTGACCTCTCTTTACAACTTCCCCAGTTTATGTTGCCATTTTCATCTTTTTTACCCACCAATAACAATGTCACTTTAGAGCCAATAACTGCCACTAAGGCAGCAGTGGCTCAGTTTGCAGAGAACAACTTGCCTCCCTCAGACTTAGCCATGTTACACACCACACTGTACAGCCTACAGCAACAACAGCTAGTGCAGTTGCAGCTGATACAACAGTTACAGCAACAGCTATTAATGGGAATGTCCAGCTCCTCACCACTGCCCAATGGTCATCTCTCACTCCTCACACCACCTGTTTCCTCGTCAACATATCCTCTGAAGGAGTTGACCTCGTGTATCCAATCAGCTGGACTGCCCGAAATCACTAGTGCAGACCACACTTCTACAGTATCCTCAAAACCCTCCTCATCAGAATCATCATCAATGGTTTCATCTTCATCAACCACCACACCTTCGCTGTCCTCCAAGCCTATTCCATCATCGCAACCACTCCCTAGCAACGATGCTGTATCCAAGGCCACTGTGGTGCCAGAAACATCTGATTTCGCCAGGCTGTCAATGTGTAAGTACTTTTAATATTTTTATGCTTTATTTTTTGTTTTCTCAGCTTTTTCTTGCTGTTCTGCTTTTTATATATAATTACCAGTGATGGGATAGACAGAAAAAAGTAAGGGATAAAGATAGTGATGATGTAATAATACAGTCAGGTGACAAGAGAGGAAGTGATGGGATAAACAGAATAAGGTAAGGGATAAAGATAGTGATGATGTAATAATACAGTCAGGTGACAAGAGAGGAAGTGATGGGATAGACAGAATAAGGTAATGGATAAAGATAGTGATGATGTAATGATACAGTCAGGTGACGAGAGGAAGTGATGGGATACACAAATGAAGGAAGGGGATAAAGATGTTGCATTAGGAAGAAAGCAGTTATGTGACAAGAGAAGAATAATAGAATAAATGAAAGAAGAATAGAATAAGAAGAATAGAATAAGTTTGAAAATGAAGAATTAAGAATAGAAAATCTGGGACAGCATTTCATTGAGATGAGAAACTAACCAAAAGAAAATATTCTGATGTTATGTCTGAAGTGAGAGGTAATATAAACATAAAATGAACTATCAGAAAGGAACCAAACTAATGGTGTTAAAACAAATCAGTATTTACAGGTTTTTTTCTCACGTTTTTGTATCTGTAATGATGTTGATTTGCTTAATTAGGCCTTTTTGTGCTCTATCACTAATTTGTATTACTGTACGTGTAAAACAAGCTGTGATAATCATTATGTTTCATCTGATCATTAATTAGGGAATCAAACTACTGTGTAAAGATCAATTTCAGAATGTCATGTTCATTTACATGTATGTAAATGTGTTAAATGTTACAAACATTTGTTTCATTTTTTCATTTCATTTGAAATATTGGGTTTATCAGAATCTTTTTGGAACATCAAAAAATACGTATTTGGAAAAATTTTACTCTCATGTATTGTTTATTGTCAAGGGTTTGTTTGTCACAGCTTGAAATGTCACATGTATCTCACAGAAAGAATTATAGAAAAACATTGCAACTTCTGTTAATACATCACAAAGAATGAAGTATATTACACGATGGACATCTATACTGCTATGTAATATATTACACATAATGACATTAACACTGCTTTGTAATATATTACACATAATGACATTAACACTGCTTTGTAATATATTACACATAATGATATAAAAAATGCTTTGTAATATATTACACATAATGACATTAACACTGCTTTGTAATATATTACACATAATGATATAAAAAATGCTTTGTAATATATTACACATAATGACATTAAAACTGCTATGTAATATATTACACATAATGACATTAAAACTGCTATGTAATATATTACACATAATGACATTAACACTGCTTTGTAATATATTACACATAATGACATTAACACTGCTTTGTAATATATTACACATAATGACATTAAAACTTCTTTGTAATATATTACACATAATGACATTAAAACTGCTTTGTAATATATTACACATAATGACATTAAAACTGCTTTGTAATATATTACACATATGACATTAAAACTGCTTTGTAATATATTACACATAATGACATTAAAACTGCTTTGTAATATATTACACATAATGACATTAAAACTGCTATGTAATATATTACACATAATGACATTAACACTGCTTTGTAATATATTACACATAATGACATTAAAACTGCTTTGTAATATATTACACATAATGACATTAAAACTGCTTTGTAATATATTACACATAATGACATTAACACTGCTTTGTAATATATTACACATAATGACATTAACACTGCTTTGTAATATATATAATGACATTAACACTGCTTTGTGATATATTACACATAATGACATTAACACTGCTTTGTAATATATTACACATAATGACATTAAAACTGCTTTGTAATATATTACACATAATGACATTAAAACTGCTATGTAATGCATAACATGAAAACATGAATACTATTGATGATATTTTATAGTTGTTGTGGAACAACTGGAGATATGCATATACATTTGATTGCATTTTGAAAACATTTTTAAAAACATTTATCTCGTTCAAACATCAAAGGAAAAAGAATGGTTTTTAAAAAGAACTTACTTTTAATGACATGTTAATTGGATTTCTACAAAATAAGACTGAAGATTAAGGTGACACGGGCCCAGTGAACCTTTTTTCACCCATAAAACTTGTAACGTTGTTTCACATGATGTTGTGGGACATTTATGAACTGAGTAACTGGCGACAAACCGAACACATACATCACAGCTCGACAATCAGATAGGGCCTGATGATGTGCTGGATACGTTTGTAGATCTTAATGCGCAAAAAAGATAGAAATTTTCTTTTCATTTATTAATATCTGGAGGCACATTTCTGTATTAAACTCGAGCAAAAGTGAAAATTTTAAGATGAAAGCTATAGATAGCACAAACATTGAATTTGAATGGAGTGTTGTAATTGATTCAGGGGGAGATAATCCTATTTTATTGATTCCTGAGCAATATTTCATGGCAATATGCACTCTATGAAAGTATTTATCAATTTTTTATTCATGCAGATTTTTATTTCACCTGCGTATGAACATATGCAGGTGTTGGCTATATCTATGTGTTGTAAAACACTTTGGGCTAGGGCAGTACACTTACATGACTGGCTAGCCAGTCACTGCGCATACGACCTACTCATCCACCACACTGCGACCAGGTATTGAGTCTTTGCCATGTACATATAGATAAATTTGTTGAATATTATTCAATAACGGAGAATGCCAGTTTTTTTTTGTGGTCTCTGATGAATTATAACTCAATTAAGGCTGCTCGCACAATATGAAATTTTAATATTTCCATATTAGCTGTGGACCATAAAGAGGACCTATAAAACTGGAAGATATTTGCTTAATGTGGAAATAAAAATATTTGCTCAGCTATGCGGAGAGAACTTTTATCGATAATTTTTACCTGTAATTGATTTGTCGTTATCCAAGCTATGATGCAGAACTACAGGTATGATGTAAGGCTGAAGGGGACACTACTTAATGACCAACCCTTCATAGATTACTTATTACTTGTTGAATCACACAGGACATCACACCTATAACAGGCATTATTGTGGTTTTATAAGTTTAGATTTCCAATAAATTGAAGGTGTCTTTATAACAAATTTCGGTGATGAATGGTCTCTATATACTGTCCTTAAGGTCCAGTCTGATTTAATAGGATTGTTACAGTATCAGGAATCATCTTGTAAGGATCTTTATGATTGGTCAGTCTCTGAGTACAGAGACCATAGACGGTAGGAGAGACCAGGCCATACCAAATTTGTACTTCTGTTCAATGACTGGGTTTAAAGGCATTATCATAGTAATCACTCAGTTCCTGGGTTGGAGGGTATATTATCATTTGTCAGTTTCTGGGTTGGAGGGTATATCACTATAATTGGTTAGAGGGTATGTCATCAATGGTCAGTTAAGGGTTTTATGGTAAGTTTTCATTGGTCAGTTTCTTAGGTGGAATGATTCAAAGTCTTTATGGTCATTCAGTTTCTTTCTTTGTTGGGTCAATATATCAACATCAGATCTCTACTTCAATATTAGTTTACATAACTGATTCATGCAACTTATTGTTCAAAACAAATGTTAGATCCATCACCATTTGCCCAAGCAATTCTCCACATGAAGTCATTAGTCCCACAAAGGCACACTTAAGACATTGTATTTTCTTTTAAAGTAAATGTGACAAAAATATTAAACTTTATTTTCCGTTTATATAATTGGAGATTTGAAAATGATTACGAATTGAAAGAAATTGATGAAAATGGATGAAAGAATGACAAATGAGTTCATCATGACTTGACATGGCCAGGACAATTGGGCAAGCTTCCTGTGAGCGTGTAGTGTTGGTGTTGTGCAGTGATCACCACTCGTAACAATGCCAGCTCGCTGTACCTGCTGTAGACAGCACCAATTATATTATGATATGTTTTAGTTGGATAATTTTGAAATGTCATGGAATATGATAGATTGCTCTTGGGAAAATAACTGCCATTGTCCAGAAAGTGATGATTAAATATAATAGATTACTGGTGATAAATATGGATTTGACATTTAATATCGGCAGCTAAAATCCAGTCAGAAACGTTAACTCAACTAGTGTAACATGCACAGGAAAAAAGGATGTGTTCGCGTGGAAGATTGCATGAGTAAAAATATGAATTTGCACTGCGATTTATCTGATGTCCCAGTGCATCGGACTAATACTGATATGTATGGTAATATCGCAGATTAAGATAGGTTTGCGAGGCTCGACTAATTTTGTTGGGAATATGTCAGTGTTTGATGGCGTACACTAATAATGATATAGAACGGGACTGTCACAATCTAATAAATGTCGTATATAAATTGGCCATTTTAGCATGATGTCAAGTTTTATGCAATATATAGGCTACACAAGCCATCCGAAAGACTATTTCTCATACCTAAGTGAAAGAAACTGAAAATCCAAATTGGATTATGGTCTGACGGGTCGCAGAGGCCATTTTTTAAAGCTTTTTAGAATATAGTTATGTTATGGTTAGGAGGGACAGAATAGGGAGTCCTTGCTTATATGGAAAAATAAAACCATCACAAATTTTTCCTCGCTGGATCATTTTGTTATTCCTATACATCAGAATAAGGTTTTATAACAAACTTCAGCAGTAGAATAGATTGGCTTGTTTCTCTGTGTCAAAGTTGACCTCTCACTACTTTGGACTGTTTTAGTAGTTACAGAAATTACCTTATTTAAGTGGACAAGCCTCTGGTAATTTTGGCATCACAGTTTAGAGTACAATATCCTTTTATCCATCCATCTAAAGGCTTCCCTTCGTTATTTCAGTAAAATAATTTTCAGTATGGAATAAGAACCATATTCTGAATACATCAACACGTTTGGTTTCTTTCCTTTCACGTAGGTAGATGCGTTGAAAACCATTACACAGCTATCACCAGAGAATTTTAGCACATAAAT